TCCCCTCTCTCTCCTCTTTCTCTGCCTATCTCTCTCTCTCTCGCTCTCTCTATACATATATACATATATACATACTATATGCATCTCTCTCTCTCTGTCTCTCCCAACAGCATTACCTGACGATGTTTGGCAGCACGATGATAGTGCCGCTGCTCGTCACGCCTCAGATGTGCATCCCGCCGACGAGCACCGCGAAAGGAGAGATCATCGCCACGCTCTTCTTCGTGTCCGGCATCGTCACGCTGCTGCAGACGACGTTCGGCATCAGGTGAGTGAGCGCACAGGTGAGCTCACAGGTGAGTGAGCGCACAGGTGAGCTCACAGGTGACTCACAGGTGAATGAGCTTACAGGTGAGCTCACAGGTGAGTAAGCGCACAGGTGAGTGAGCTCACAGGTGAGTGAGCGCACAGGTGAGTGAGCGCACAGGTGAGCTCACAGGTGAGTGAGCTTACAGGTGAGCTCACAGGTGAGTGAGCTTACAGGTGAGCTCACAGGTGAGTGAGCTTACAGGTGAGTGAGCTTACAGGTGAGCTCACAGGTGAGTGAGCGCACAGGTGAGCTCACAGGTAGCGTATATACATATGCGTGCGTGCGTGCGTGCGTGCGTGCGTGCGTGCGTGTGTGTACAAATTTTATTTTGTTCATGTTCAATCAATTTGATTCGTAGGTAGAGCTTCTATATAGTTTTTTTTACAAGTCTGATTTCTTTCATTTCTTCAGGCTACCGATTGTGCAGGGTGCCACTTTTTCGTTTCTGGCTCCTACGTTTGCGATCCTGGCGTTACCCAAGTGGAAGTGCCCGTCGGAGACCGAAATCGAAGCTCTGATGAATGAAACAAACGGGACATTTGATATTGGAGAGATATGGAAGCCGAGAATGCGAGAGGTGTGTGAAAGCAGTGAGCTATAGGTGTTTCTTCTCCCTCCATCCCTCTCTACCTCTCTCTCCCTTCCTCCTTCTCTTCCTCCCTCCCTCCCTTCCATCATCACTCCCTCCACCTCTCCCTCCATCCCTCCATCTTTCCCTTCCTCCCTCCCTCTTTCACTCTCTCATCTGCCTTGCTTTCACTTTCGCTGTCTCTGTCTCTTCTCTCTCTCTCTCTCTCTCTCTCTCTCTCTCTCTCT